ATTTTATATATAAAAGTAACAAAATTTAACTTTGTGAAAATTTGTTTTTAAATGCTCAACTAGCCATTCTTTTATGTATAATTAAAAGCAAACTAGAGAAATCCGCTGAGGGTAAACATAGAATCTAAGATAGCTACAATGTTAAAGTGAAGAACTTGTTTTCATTACCCTTAAGGGAAGAGAACAAAGTTTAAAACTGTAAAGCTTATGACTTCAATGACATCATGGAAGCTTAGCCTCTTTTTTTTTTTCATTTTGCCTTAGCCAGTTTAGAGTTGGTTTTGAACAGCTTCTGATGTTGTCATTGCCAACAGTTGCCCGTCCCTCCATGCTCAGCTCTACATGCCTTACCCCCCACACTGTTTCTGTAACCCACTTTTTTCACAATTCTACATTTTTCATGCTGTTTTCTATTAGCAAATGAGGCGCAAACGAGACGAGCAAATGCAGTGAATAGCCCCAATGTGTATGTGTGCGTGTGAGCGCGTGTGTGTGTGTATGTGTGTGCCATTACTTAACACCTACAAGCTGCCATCCGTCTGCACGCTATTACACGATTACAGCAACAACAACCCCCAAAAGACGTTGCCCAGGTCAGCGGGCCCCCAACCTGTGGGTTTGAGTCTATGCTTCGAGTATTAGTCATGGCTCACTGTTTGCCTTTTGTTATTGCATGCTAATTTCTTTCTATTTCTATTAGCCTGCTATCTCCCTTGCACTCACACACACACACACACACCCTTTCGCTCTAGTTGCCCCAAAGTATGCAGTAAAATGTGTAATCGCATTTAACGTTTACTATCAAGACAGGCCAAAAGGAAATAAAACGAAAGTGTAACCACAGTGCCGACCAGCTAAGGTGGCCAGCCACCTCACCTCACCTCACTCATTTGCTCTCTCGCTCTCGCTCGTTGTCTGTCGCAGTTAGCATCGTTTCGTTATTCCCACAAAGTGCAGCTATTATAGAATTCTCTATACACTTGCGTAAGCCACAAAAACAAGTGCGAACCATTTGAATGCAGAAATGGTATTCAAGAAATTATTTACATACATATGTACATATGTTTATATACATATATATTTCATTTATAGCATATATTTATATACATGCATGCTTTTCTACTGCCAAACGTTTCACTATGCATAACATATTTTATCATGCCATCGGTTAGGGTATAAATGAGAAAAAGAAGAAGTGAGCAGCGACAGCCAAGCCTGAGCACCTGCCCGCAAGCTGGCCTAAATTGGCAGACGAGTGACTCGGCTACAATGTACAATACATAATGAAAACAGAACACAGACAGCTCACACAGGCACACAAAGAGAAACTGATTTACTTGGCTGCAAGCAAAAGCCAGTCTGCCCGCTTATCAAAAGCTGACGATCGAAAGCAACGCCGACAATTTTTTGTTCCATTTTCTGCTTTCTGTCCGTCTCTTTGTCTCTTCCTTTGGCTTGACTCAGCTCGGCACCCTGTCATGGCAGATATATGTGTGTTTGTATGTGAGTATGTGTCTGTATGAGCAATGAAAACGTTTGCCCATTCACATAAATTATAATGACTTAGAAACTTTTTTGTCTCCATTTTTTTTTACAAAAATTTAAGCTATTTTCATCTGCCCACACATACATACATAAACGTGTGTATTTATATAAGGTCATGGCAATTGATTTAGTCTTTCTGCTTAGCTCCAGTTAAAACTCCAGTTGAATTCTTTATTAGCTTCAATAACTTTTGCTGCAGCGAGTGCAACTGAACAGAAGTTCATCTCACTCACACTCACACACGCACACAGAACTCAAGTTTGCTGCACTCTTCGCTTTTTGCTATAGCTCCAACTGTAACAAATGTTCCACTCCCATAAACTTTTCAGTGCAGTGCTGATTTCCATAACTAATAGCGAAAGCAAAGTTTGACTAGAGCGTGCATTAGTTCTCCCACTCGCTCACTCAGAGCTTTGTCTGTAATCTTCCATCATCGAGCAAGGGCATAGACAAAGTCTGATTGGAAGTTTTAAAGTTTCCATTTGTGAGCAAAACATTTATCGCATTTATGCATTCATGTTTCACTTTTTCCTTTTTAAGCTCTTCTGTTTAACTGAAGTTAGGCAAATTCTTTCATTGCTTCCATAAGTTCTGCTTCAATGAGAGTAGCTTAACGAAAGTTTGCCTCACTTACACACACACACACTACTCAAGTTTGCTGCACTGTTCTATTCCTTATTTAACTCTAATTGCGAAATGAATGAGATTGCCTGTCCCACTCCCACACACATTACATTTCATTTTCATACCCAATATCAGAAGTGAGCTTGTAAGAGAAAGAGAGAGAAAGAGATAGGAGCATAACTAGCGCGTGCATCATTGCTCTCGCTCACTCACTCACTCTTGATCGACTACCAGCACAGGCTCAGTCTGATTGGTCGTTTTTTTTTATACCCTGAACCCATTTTCAATGGGAAATCAGGGTATAATGGTTTTGTTGAAATGTATGTAACAGGCAGAAGGAGGCGTGGCAGACCCCACAAAGTATATATATTCTTGATCAGGGCGACGAGCTGAGTTGATTTGGCCCTGTCCGTCTGTCTGTCCGTCTGTCCGTCTGTCCGTC